CTGAGGATGAAACAACGAACATCAACAGTATCCGTGTCCCAGGGGGTTTCAGAAGGGACTATCTAAGACGGGCAGTAGGCCCTAACCTTCCTGGAGATCTGGATGGCTCGGGTGCGCAGGCTTCTGCTGCCCAGCCACAGCTTCCAACAAGCAGCTTTTTGGAATTCCTGACTCTATACGGTCACTTTGCTGGTGAAGAGCTCGAAGAGGATGACGAGGTCCTGGGCCCCGATGAGTATTTCTCATCGGATACTTATGACGAAGCAGAAGGCAGAGAACCAGGTGAAGATTCAGCCCTTCTCAGGCCAGACACAGCTGGCCGGAGGAAGCGCAAGCCACGCGGTGGGACGGGAACCAACACGAGGACCGGAGCAGCATTACTTCTACTCAAGTCTTTCGTTGGCACAGGAGTTTTGTTCTTGCCAAGAGCTTTCTTGAATGGTGGCATGCTGTTCAGTAGTATGGTACTTCTTGGCGTATCACTACTCAGCTTTTACTGCTTCATCCTTCTGGTTAATACGCGGCTGAAGATTGATGGTTCCTTTGGTGACATTGGTGGTGCGCTCTATGGAAAGCATATGAGGCGCATCATCCTTGGATCCATTGTGTTGAGTCAATTGGGTTTCGTGTCGGCATATATTGTTTTCACGGCCGAGAATCTACAAGCCTTCGTTCTGGCTGTCAGCAAATGCAAATCTTTCATTGACATCAAGTTCATGGTGTTGCTGCAGCTGGTCATCTTCCTCCCTCTCTCATTGATCCGCGATATCAGCAAGCTCGGGTTCACTGCTCTCATTGCAGATCTGTTTATCATGCTGGGGCTGGTTTACCTCTTCTATTATGATTTCTTGACTATCTCGAACCAAGGAGGTGTTTCGGATATCATCTCCTTCAACCCATCCACCTGGACACTTTTCATCGGCACGGCTATTTTCACGTATGAGGGAATTGGTTTGATCATCCCAATCCAGGAATCAATGAAGCACCCGCAAAAGTTTCCCGGTGTTCTGGCAATGGTGATGGTCATAATCACGGTCATCTTCCTCAGCGCTGGTGCATTTAGCTATGCGGCATATGGATCCGCAACGAAGACGGTAGTCATCCTCAACATGCCTCAGGATGACAAGTTTGTAAATGCCGTGCAGTTCTTGTACTCTCTGGCGATTCTTCTCAGTACCCCACTGCAGCTTTTCCCGGCCATTCGAATTTTGGAGAATGAGCTTTTCACTCGCAGCGGAAAGTACAATCCCAGTATCAAGTGGAAGAAGAATTGCTTCCGTTTCTTCCTTGTCATGATCTGTGCATTCATTGCCTGGGGCGGAGCAGAAGACTTGGACAAGTTTGTTTCGCTTGTCGGAAGTTTCGCCTGTGTCCCCTTGATTTATGTATATCCGGTGAGTTAACCTGTTAAGTACCTTCAATTCGGTCCGCCAAAATGGTTACTAACTTGTGCTTAGCCTTTGCTGCATCTTAAGGCCTGTGCCCAATCGAGACGGCAGCAGATTGCCGATATCGCACTCTCCGTTTTCGGTGTCCTTAGCTGTTTGTATACGACCGCCCTGACACTCAACAACTGGATCAATGGGTCGGACGTCAAAGCTCCCGGGTACTGTGACTCATAGATTGTATATGTCATATGATTGTTATCCCGTTCCTTCGGGATCGGCGCTCTGGATATGAATGATTGATGCTACAATGTGAGGCCATCGTCCATACGATTGATTGGTCTATACTTTTTGGTCTTCTGATTGCTGAACAACCCCCTGTTTGATTAAATCTTGCTTATTGTTGCTGTATTCTCGATTGTATGTGGTATAGACTAGAGATTAAATTGCCAGTATATGTCTATTTGTAACATTGTCCGTCTTCCTTTCAAAGCATCTTAACACTTACTGATTCAAATGAAGTCAACTGAACAAAGTTTTACTAGATCATCAATGTCTAAACCTTGTTAATGCGCAGAAACAAAAGCCTATATACAATAAACCGCGGCATGCCCAGCTGCTAGATACAAAGATATCTCATAGTCAACAGCAGAAAACCCCCCACCAAACAAAACTACCAATCCCGACGCCACTATTATCAATACAAGTGGCTGGGGCCTTCATCTTGCCCCATATCTTACCTGGATGAACCCTCAACGTACAGGTCTCACCTAGATTTGGCGATTTGATTCATGATATTGTGGTATTGTCTACTTAATTGGGTAGGTAGGTAGGCAATGCTGCTAAAGACGTATAAGGTATTCATAAGCCGCGCAGCAAGCAAATGAGGCGATAAAGTCGAGAAGAGGAAGATGACGTCGTTTAAGCGCCAGCCTCGGTGGCATCCTTGCCCTGCTTGGCAGCCTCGGCGAGCTGAGCTTCACGGCCTCCCCAGCTGTTGATGCGAAAGTCAGCATTATCCTTGTGTTTCTCAACGGGGGTGGGAAGAAAGAGCCATTCCGTGACGTACTTCCAGTAGTTCAGGTAGCGGTATCCTTGGGTAAGCTGAGCGGAGAAGTTGACGGCGTGGCAGGCGAACAGGAGATAGTTCTTGGGAGAGACGGCAAGAGCGTAGCGCATGAAGGTTCCCGAGTAGATAACGAGAGCACCGGTCATTTGGCCGGAGATACTGTGTAGATAGAGTGACAGTTAGCAATCGTATGATTGGTTAGGAAGGTGCTGGTATGTTCGTTTGGGCTATCTGGATAAGCTCTCAAAGCTTGATTCGATGTGCATTTATGTTCAAGAGAAAGAACACCGCGGAGTGGGGGGAGGTAATTGTAGCGACGTACATTTCAGGGTCCTTCTGAGTATCCATCACCGCTGCAATGGGGATACCAAAGTTGGAGGCAGGGCCCCAGAAGTCTAGTTGAGATCATTGTTAGCCAAGAGAAATTGCTTTTTGTTAATTAGAGTTGACTAAGGAAAGAGCTGTGTCATCGTGACCGATAACATGTGCAGAAAGGATTCACTGAAGTTGCTCAACAACCCCTTCAGAACATGTCTTACGGCAGGCATTCTTGTCGGCCGATCTCGGTCAGGAACACGGGGAGGGTAACGGTGAAGATTGAACGTACGGGTAGAGCAGAAGTAATCCAGGGCCTTGTTAGACCGGATCTTCGCATTGATTGCCTTAATTGCAGCGGCCATCTTGACAACTCGAAGGCTTGGACTGGAGTGAGGAGTGGAGAGTTGATTAGAGGTGAGTACGCAGGGCCGAGCGGTTTGCTTTCCTCACTCCGTCACCTGCAGTCCGCGCCGGACGGAGTTACCCGGAGACGGTCACGTGCACTATATCGCTGCGAAGTCGTTGGTTTAATCGACTTGCTAGGTGCTTACTGCGTACTAGGCTGAATCTACACCTGCAGCTGTCCAATCGCCGTAGATTTGAAGTATAGTCTTACATGAAACGGAGGAATTAAAGGCTTCAAACCCTTATTAGGATTCACTAGTACAATTGAGTGCTCGAAATACATCTAGCATTACTTCTGTCGGTCCTATCCTTATTTCGGTCGACCTTTTCTTTTGTCAGGGCATTCCCTGCATCCGCACACGCCGCAACGCCTTTGCCTGGTAAAACTCGGGGTGCTATGCCTATTCGTCTGAAGTTCGTCAAGTAGGCGACTAATGGGGAAGTGAATATTGTTCGCTTGATTCGTAGTTCGAAGTATCTGCCATGCCGGTATCATGGCCAGGTTGCAAGCCATCATGCTGCTGCACATACTATCAAATCACCGTCCACCAAAGCCGGGTGGAGGGAATCCGCGTCCTTGTCCAGGGGGCTGGAATCCCGGTGGGGGTTGGAAGGCACCCGCTACAACAGCATCAGTTAGCTCTATAACCATAACACGCTATTCAAGGATACTTACGAGGAGCACCCTGAGGAGCGAATCCCGGGGGAGGAGCGAAGCCAGCTAATATCCTAAGTCAGTAACCAAGTTCAACATCGAGCTCGAAAGTGCAAACTTACGAGGTCCACCAGGGGCACCACCACGACCAGCGAAGCCCGGAGGCGGCACTCCAGGGAAACTACCACCAGGAGGGAAGCCGGGAAAACCGCCGGGCGGCGGGGGAGGGCCACCAACACCTGCAGCAGGGCCTCCCAGGCCGACCGGCAGACCACGTCCAGCGGGTTTGCTAATTCCAGGGCCAGCAGCAAGAGTGGCAGCTGCGGCAGCTGCGCTAGGTCCAGCAGCACCGAGTCGGGCAGAGGGATCGGCAGGAGGAGGTCCATCAACGGAGCAAGAGACGACATGTGTACCGCGAACAATGGTAAGGCCCAGGGTGCGCTTTTCTTCGGCCTCAACAAGAGGTGCGTTGGTCGAACCGGCGGCGGGCTTGGACTTGCGCTTGACGCGACGGAATTCTTCTGTATCGGCGAGGACAAGGTTCATGTGCTATAATCCTGCATCAGCGACCAGCCGACCACAAGTGTTATCCGATGGCCACTGAAAGACCCAGAAATATATACCTTATCGAAAGCGAGCATCTGTCCCGTCATCTGTCGGCCATCATTGAGGGTGACTCTCATCCGGTAGTTGATCTGAGGATATTGTCAGGTTTGACGCGCGAGTGAAACATGTATCGTCAGTAACTTACGAGGTTTTGCTACTCAAAAATGAAGAATAAAGAGTTAGCCACGCGAACATGTGTATACAAGCTGATATGAACACGAAAGGGAAGGATCCGATTAACTCACCATCTTGCCCTGCTTATTAGCCGCCATGTTGGGCTATGAATGCGCACGAATGCGACTTGTGTGATACCAAAGAATTGTTTTGTGAGATAGTAGAAGGATGTATCTTCTACTTAATCGTCACTTTGTCCTTACTGAGCTGTCGCGCCCGGAGTGAAGGTCGGTCGAGGTCTGCAACACTTTCTCCAAGCGGCACCAGCTCGACTTGCTACGGGTCGGAGGTCCATGAGGCGCGGCTCTGCGGCTTGGCGCCAGTCGACCGCGCCAAGCCACTAAGGGCTCTCGCTTCCCACTTTCAACCCACACATTTCCCTTTTACACACTTTTCGATCCTGAGTTTCTTCCAACCAACCAGTCGACCAGTTCACGCCAAAAGCAGTCGCCATGGTATGTTGCCCATCGCCAATACACTTTTCAGCATTGATATAAACCCGATTCTCGAGACTCCGAAGACTTATAAGCAAATTTTTTTTCTAACATTTTTGTCGCCATGCAGTCGGAATCCAAGGACAAGTCCGCCAACCCTATGCGCGAGCTGCGCATCCAGAAGCTCGTGCTCAACATCTCCGTCGGCGAGTCTGGTGACAGACTTACTCGCGCTGCTAAGGTGCTCGAGCAGCTGAGCGGTCAGACTCCGGTCTACAGTAAGAACGCCCGATCCCGATGAATCCGAGAAATTCGAACACGAAGCAGCCGAGGAAGGAGGATATTACAACTGTGTTATGGAATGGATGGCTGATGGGATGATTTTTTCAACGTTTAGGCAAGGCCCGTTACACCGTCCGTACCTTCGGTATCCGTCGTAACGAGAAGATCTCCGTCCACGTTACCGTCCGTGGTCCCAAGGCCGAGGAGATCCTTGAGCGTGGTCTCAAGGTCAAGGAGTACGAGCTCCGCAAGCGCAACTTCTCTGAGACCGGTAACTTCGGTTTCGGTATCTCCGAGCACATCGATCTGGGTATCAAGTACGACCCCGGTATCGGTATCTACGGCATGGACTTCTACTGCTGCATGTGAGTGCATTTGGACCTCTACGCAGTCCTGGTTCGACAGATCCATCGGTGTCAATCCAGATCGAGCAGGACAAGTCGAGTATCAGCAACTGACTTGGAATCAATAGGACCCGCCCTGGTGAGCGTGTCGCCAAGCGCCGCCGCTGCAAGGCCCGTATCGGCTCCCAGCACCGTATCACCCAGAACGAGACCATCAAGTGGTTCAAGAACCGCTTCGACGGTATCGTCCGGTAAATGCCCTCATCCACGGGGTCTTCAGGAGGGAAAGCTCCGGGGTTGTGTTTATGATGAATCGATCAAAAATGGTCAGAAAAGGAGGCAGGCGTTCTTGAAAATCATTATCGCTCTGCTCTGAAATATGGCTTTTCTACCACGGCATGAGGTTAGGCGTGTTAGAGATATCAAATTCCCAAATTTTTCATACGCATCCACTTTTCTCAATGAAGGCTTCACGAAGGGTGATGATTTCCGCATAACCATTGATGAAAGGTCTTCCATGATGCTTTTGCTGTGTTTGCCACTTGTACCACTTTCAACACACAGTGGTGCTATAGTGTGCATTTGGCCTGAAACTCGTCTCCCTGAGATTGAGTGTTTTCCCTTGCGAGATGTGCTTTCCAGCATTATTCTCTGCTGTCCTCCCAGGACTGATGCTCAGAAGCACGCGTCTCAACACACTGTTTCTGTGCTCAGTCTCGGCCTCGTAGTGGTACTTTTGAAAACTCTTGAGTAGATAAGCCGACCAATCGTAGCAGTCTAACTGGCAATTGACCGACCGGACTCGTAGGTAGTCTAGCCCAATACCCCGGGTCTCACTAGTGCTACTGATTGCCGCTGGACAGACATAATACCAAGAATGTCATGGGGAAATAATCACCAGTGAACCTGCGTGTCTGGTTCCAAGGTCCTACTTACGTGCCAACTCTGACACGTATAGTTCGGGACTGGCTAATCTTACGACCGCTGAACCCCGCATTCTACTACGTATCCATTTGGGATCTATATGTGCCACCAAGCAAACGCTAGTCAAATTAGGTTTGTTAACTATCACAGCAGTCATGATAAGTACATACAATACAACTTCATGGAGCTGGCATAGCTATACCTCGCCTTGAATTAATTTTCAATAACATTTGCATAAATCACTGAGAGATGTGGCCTCTGGCGTTCGACATTTCCGACATCATAGCATTCGTCGAAGAGTGATATTAGTTAAAATTATTTACTACCTCCTCTCGTGTATCCATCCCACCACTTGGCGAAGAATCCGCCCTGCTGTCCCTGCTCGTTCCAGCTTTCACGGCGCGTATTGAGAGTCTGGTCCGTAGAGTTGCGCTTTTGGCTCGTCAAACTCTCAAAGAGGCTTGACGCGCCATGGCCGGTCGAGCGTCTCCTGTCCCCAATGCTGGGAGGGCTATTGCTCAAATTGGCGGAGTTGGAAGACATATCTGATGAATCAGAGCCCTTTATATGTAAAACGGTTAGTTGGTGTTGACACTAGAAGTGTGATGATATCAAGCATCATGCTTAAGCCAAATGCTTGGGATGACGACGACAGAAACTGTTTAGACGTACGCGTCTGTCGGAAGTGGCAGTGGCTGCAGTGGTAGTAGGAATCGAAGGACGACGGTAAGGCTCAGGAGGACCTCCTCGCACCCAGACATTGTGATGCTCGTAGCGATCACCGACGGTGCCATGCCAATGGCGGGGAGACTGGGGCTGCTGGTTGTTGCTCATGGTTCCTCTTTTGTACTTCTTGGTTCTCGATGAGATCGAAGGAGCAGTATCAACTGCGTGCTTCGTAAGTTGAAGTGAGGATATGAATGATAGAAAAAGGGACTAAACATGTGCATGTGTATGACAAACAAATGCGGGTGAAGAGCAACCAAAATCTGTCACGGGCTATCGTTACATAGCTCTTTCATCATGAATCCGAGGGCTCCGGTGTCATCTCAACGACAAATAATCAAAAGTAGCAGAGTCCATGTGATAGGTATTGGAGTGGACAAGCTTGGAATCAAGACTTCAACTTACCAGTGAGCTTCTTTGCAGTGTGCTATCAGTACCAGGATTTGATGTTACTGATCACGGTGACCGACCGGGACGACAGCAGCTCATTATAAGGGATTCCCAAAGGAAAAGAGGGGTAAGTCAGCCACCCTCCAAGTGCTGTGAATCGGACCCTGGGTATGATGATGCAGCGAGAGGCAATCCCATAGGTCTGAAGGGGCAAAAGTACGCCCATGAACCAATAATGGGCGGTAATAGCTTGGGGATCCCGGTCCTAGAAATGCAAAAGCTACTTTGACAACGGCAATGATTCATCATTCTCTTGGGAATCGTATACGTCGATCCACGGATAGTGTTGCAGAGTGTCACAGGATAATTGGGATTAATTAGCTCCTCTGGATGGAAGTAATCCAATAACCGATGTGCAAATCTTGTGGTGTGCCAATGGATGTCGTCCATGATGGCTTGACGTCAGGTGCTCTGCCAAATGCGGGGATCGAAGAGTTAGTAATTGCGCAGAGAGAAAAAGTACCGTCAGTCTCTGCCTGTGAAGCATCTATATGCGGTGGCCATCGACTGTTTATTTTTGAATGAGAGGGGTAATGTGCAACCAACTAGCTGAGGATATATTTATTGGCACCTGTCAACTATCTGGAATGGCTCAGCATACAGTGGAGATTCCATAACAGACAGACTTGAGGCCCTGAAACATCAGCTAAATCAGCGACTGCGTACTGCGTACAGATGTATCAGAAGCTGAAGGAAAAGCGAGGATTGCAATCAGACATGGCCGAGGAAATGGCCATCACTCCCATACTACTATTGTCTGTCCCCAAAATTGCCGACCTATGCATTAATGCCTCAGGCAACGAGCGGCATCCAAATCTGGGGCCGAAGCGGAATGAATTCGGCTTCCCCGCGGGCCGCTTTGATATGCCTCGCCCACTCTGACAGTTTATCATGGTTCAGCGTCCGCGTTCTCCCCTTACATTTCCGCTATATCTCATCATTCTATAGGCTATATTTGCCGACGATCTAGCAATCATGTCAGTTGTCTTAGGATTCGTCAAAACTCCCCCTGGGTCTCCACCACCTGCCAAGATTTCGGCCATCGGGACCTTATCATGCGCTAAAGACGCGAGCGCCCTCCCCCTCGTGCGGAGATGCCGTCGGTCAGAACGGCTCTTTTTGGGGCTATATCTATCCATGGAACCTCGAATGCCATAGCCTCCGACCATTGCTCACTCCCTAATACATTAATATCCCATTAAGGCAGCCAGCCATATACCTTATTATTCTCCTAGACCACCATGGCAGTTCTAGAGACATTTGGTCATCCCTACCTGAAGTCCCTGGCCCATCGTGGCTACGTCCAGGGCACCACTCTGCACTCAAAAGCGACTAGCCAGCCTCTGTGTCACTACTTTGGATGTGTTCGATATGCCCTTCCTCCTCCTGAGAGATGGCGCCGGGCCCAGAAGCTCCCCGAGTCCTATTCCTATGGCACCAAAGACCAACCCGCCCCCTGCGACCAAGACGCTGCTGTCTGCCCACAGCCCAGCTTCATGGGTCGCTCTTACACGAAGGGGTTCACAGAGGACTGCTTTCAAGCCAGCGTGTGGGTACCGCTAGGAGAACCCCCTAAGGGAGGTAAGTATCAAGGTCCTTGCACAAATCAGCTGAAGCTAATAAAATGTTCCTATAGGGTGGCCGGTCCTTTTCTTCATCCGTATGCGCGCGCCTTCAAGACCCATCCCTTAACTTAATACTAATGGCTTGATACATTAGATGGAGGCTGGCTACAATTCGGTCACCCGAACACATTCTCGGCTGCAGCCCTACTCGGCGATGCCGGGCTCAACGCCATTGTCGTCGTCCCAGCCTACCGGCTGAACGTCTTTGGGTTCTTATACTCCTCGGAGATCGAGAAAGACGCCTCCTCTGTAGGAGAAACAACAGGCAACCACGGATTCTGGGACCAGCGTGAAGCCCTAGAATGGACGAGGGACAACATCGGCCTCTTTGGCGGCAACCCATCCCAGATCACCGTCTCCGGATACTCAGCCGGTGAGTTGCCCCAAACCATACACTCTCCACCCCTTCACAAAGTAGCAAACCCTAACCCAAACCCACCCCAATCAGGCGCCTACTCAACATTCTACCAACTGGCCTACGACCTCCAATTCCCTGCCTCCCGCGCCATAATCAAACAAGCCTGCATCTGGTCCAACGCCGCCGCCGTGCAACCCAAATCCCCCGCATCGGCTCAAGAACAATTCGACCAACTCCTCTCAGCCCTACACATCCCCAGCACCCTTCCCTGGGCCGAAAAGATCTCCCAGCTGCGCGCCCTTCCTTCCCAAACCCTCCTAGACGCCGCCATGAGCGTCCAACTAAACCAGTTCCGCCCGACCTCCGACTCAACCTTCATTCAACCCACGCTCTTCAAGTCCCTGGATAGCGGTGCCTTCGCGCGCGCCCTCTCCGCACGCAACGTCCGCATCATGCTCGGCGAATGCCGCGACGAGCGGCACCTGTATGCCGCCTGGTTCCCGCCGCAAGCCGACACGCTCTCCGCTCTCCATTCCAGACTTCTCGCAGACTACCCCCGCCACGTCGTTGACACGCTCATGAAGCTCCACTACCCAGACGGCAAGTTGCCGCCGTGCTGCGAGAATTGGGACAATGATGCTTTCGGCCGGGTATATGCCAAGATGCAGGTGCATGATATGCAGCGCGGGCTGATTCATGCTCTTGCTAGTGGCGGGGCGGGACACTTGCTTTATCGGTATAGGATTGAGTACCGAGCTAAGTGTGCGGATGCGAGTGTTCCGCCGGAGTGGGAGGTTACGCATTCTAGTGATTATCCGATTTGGTTTTGGGGGAATGGGAATGTACTGGAGCCGGAGGAGAAGGGTTTTATTCGGCGGGCTCTTATTGATCCGTTTATTAGCTTTGTTCATGGGGTGGAGGATGTGAAGTGGGGTACGAGGCATCATCGGGAGATGAGGACCCTGAAGCCTGATGGGTCGGTTGAGATTGTGCAGGATACTGCGCTTTGGGATGAGGCGATGCGCGTCTGGAAGGCTTTACGGGAGGTGGGAGAGCCGGAAGCTTCTGCTGCGAAGCTCTAGGGGAGAAGAGATTCAATACTTCTGAATAAATGGAGGTTGGTCTTGATCCTGTACATATCCATCATGACTATATATGCTGTGTCTCCTAGATACTACGAATATATCTGAAAGAATGTTTTGAAATCACTTGTCATTCATATGGTTGACATTGTATGTCCGTGGCAACCATTGATCGTAAATAAGCTGTGGCATAAATATGGAAATAACCCAAACCCAACCCAAAATATTCATAAACATAACAGACGCTCTAATCTAGAAAAAGAATATTGGCATAGTGTCCTTGTTGACAAATAAGCCGGTTGCAAGGACATCGACATCGACATTAGCTTTTCAAACATTGCCGTCATAACGGTGTTACTCTTCTAGGCCTTGACGATCTTGCAGACAAGATCCTGGCCATCCACCGAGTCACCTTCCTTGACCAGCAAGCTGGAGACCTTGCCACTGTGGGGAGCAGAGATAACCATTTCCTAATAGATGTTAGCAGCCGGTCAGGAGTTTTGGTTGATAGTTTTTGGGGTTATACATACCATCTTCATGGCGCTCAGGACGGCAATGGGGTCACCCTTCTTAACTTCCAGGCCGTCGTGGACGCGGATCTCGACAACCACACCGCTCATAGGAGCACCAACCTGGCTGCTGTCACCCAGCTCGGCCTTGGGGCGGGCGGTGTTCTCGACGGACGCCTTCTTGTCGTCCACACTAACCTGGCGAACCTCACCGTTGACTTCGTAGAAGACCTCACGCTGGCCGGTCTGCTCGGAGAGGGGACCAATGGCCAACAACTTCAGGATCAGCACCTTACCCTTCTCCAGCTCGACGTGGAATTCCTCGCCGATCTCGGGCTTGGCCAAGAAGTAGCGCGTGGGCAGGACGGACAAATCACCGAACTTGGCGACAAACTTCTTGTAATCCTCGAAGACCTTGGGGTACATGGCATAGCTGGCCACATCGTACTCGGTAGCTGCGCCATAGTTCTCCCGGATCTGGCTCTTGATCTTGGCCAGGTCAAGGGGCTCCAGGTACAGACCAGGGCGCTTGTCGAGCTTGCGACGGTCACGCAGAGCGCGAGAGCGCAGAGGCTCGGGGAATCCACCGTAGGGCTGGCCCATGAGACCCTCGAGGAACTCCAGAACGGAACCGGGGAAGTCAAGCTCGCCGGCGCGAGCAATCACATCTTCAGCAGTCAACTTGTTGGAGACCATGAACTGAGCCAAATCACCGACCACCTTGGAAGTGGGGGTGACCTTGACGACATCGCCCAAAAGATCGTTGGCAGACTCGTAAGCCTTCTTCGTCTCCGCCCACTGCTGGCCCAGACCAAGCTGGCTGGCCTGGAAGATCAGGTTGGTCAATTGACCACCAGGGATCTCATGCTCGTAAACCTCGGGGTCGGGACCAGTCAGACCTGCCTCGAAGGGCGAGTAGAGGAGACGCAGCTGCGCCCAGTAGGTGTCAAGGGCGCGAACCTGGGCCGAGTTGAGGCCGGGGTCGTGCTCAGTTCCCTCGAGGGAAGCGAGGATAGCACCAATGCTGGGCTGGGAGGTCATACCGGAAAGGCTGTCCGTAGCAGCATCAACGGCATCAGCACCGGCCTGAGCGCAAGCAATCATGGAAGCCACACCGGTACCAGCAGAGTCGTGGGTGTGCACGTGGATGGGGAGGTCGGGGTAGCGCTCGCGGATGGAACCGACCAGCAGACGAGCAGCCTGGGGCTTCAGCACACCAGCCATGTCCTTGATACCCAAGACGTGGGGCTTGAATTGGACCACCTTATCAACAAGGTCGAGGTAGTAAGGCAGGTTGTACTTCTTGCTGGGGTTGAGCATATCACCACTGTAGCAAATAGTAGCCTCAACAACACCCTCGGCAGCGTGGACAGCCTTGATACCGACCTCGAGCTGGTCAACGTCGTTGAGAGCATCGAAGACACGGAAGATGTCGACACCGCACTTCTTGGCCTGCTTAC